AACATCCCCAAGGCAGGGGCAGTGGAACTAGATGATCTTAAGATCCTTTCCAGCCCTAACCATTCTGTGATTCTATAAAGTGAGGGCACAGGACAGCAGCCATCACTCCCTGCATTCAGTAACAGGGCAAGGGGTTGTAACCCCTCACTTGGGTACGTGTGTGCAGTCATTGCGAGTCCAGATTCAATGTCTATCTTCCTCTGGAGATCACCAACACAAAGGCAAGGCTAAGAGAGATTTCTCCTTCTCAAGGCTCAGCATGTGTGTACCAGCAATTGAGGATGCATGCAACAGGAGGAGACATCAACATAACCCAGCAATAGGGGTGCTTCCTGCGGAGGACCCACGTTTGATTCATAGAGTTGCTTTCCAGTAGCCCACATTTACACCAGATCCACCCTAAAAATGCAGTTTTAGAAATTTTCTGCAACTTCATCATTTAAATCATGCTCTTAAATATTGCACCAGGACTGATGCTGAGTTCACCGACTTTGAAGAGGGAGAAGTGATAAATATCAAAGATAACTTGAGAACATCAAAGACATTTTACAAAACCCTGAGAATAAAATATAGCGAAAACCTAATGAATGTTGCCAACGCAACAGGCTGTGCTAATATAAAATTAAATTGCCTCAAAAATTGTATGCAGATTAAACACAATCCTGCTATTAACAAAGCTTATTTGTAAGCAAAATTTGGAAGTTTTGATTTATCCTGCTGAGTATTTAAAGAACCACTATCATAAGGAAAACAAATTAACTTTGTTTTCTTTGTGTTTTAACTGTTACAAATGATTTTACTGGTGCTAATACAAAGATTAGGGAATAGCAGGTTTGGAATTTTTTTCTCTTCTTCTCAGAAAGTGCTTGTTGTTTGAGCAGATTTTCTTTGAATTTGCCAATAGGATTATTCTTGTTTTTCCAGTTACTGCTACACAAAATACTTGAAGTATTTTTGTGCAGAAGAACTGCAGTTCACTTTGTTGAGATTTTACAGGGCTAAGGGCTAATTTAATTGGGGGAGGGGTTTGCCCTACAAAGAGAACATTTTTCTTTTTATTTCCTAAGAAGATGATTTCTGGTGGTTCTCTTCAGTTCCTTTTCTTTTTATGCAAGGGAAAGGGAAAAAAACGTTAATGCTGCTGGGAACAAAGAGGATTTGTGATTCTTCAACAGAAAAAGAAATTAATAGTTCCTTTTAAATGTGGTTCTGCTACATGTTATGTACAGTATAGAACTGCCTGTGTCCCTCTATCCAGCTATCTAGCAAATAGGTACATGTATGTACACTGCACATGTAAAATTGTGCACACTTGAAGGCATACGTTGCAAGATCTGTTTGTTCTCTAGATTACCATATTATTCAGTCATGGGTTAGACACTTGCCCACAAATTACAGCCTACAAGTTGCTTCCTGCTGAAGGAACACTAAGTTAACACTGTGGTAACTGTGTTTTAATAGGACTCCTATCATTTGGTTGCTCTTTTTCAGCATTCCTAAAAGGATTCTCTTTTACACAACCAGTTTGTAATATCATGTGCAGTACTTCAGGATAAATGATCCTATCATTGCTAATTAGGCTAATTTGGTTCTCTAGATAATAGGAGTACCACTGTTTTGGTATTGCTGATGAGCACGCTTTCATCAGTGCCAGTCTACTGGCAATGTTTGGAGCTGGATCTTCAATGAGTGTTAATCCGTAGGTCTTTGCTGAAAGTGATGGAGTTATTTTATGGCCAATGGGGGCTCTTATTTGCTGGCCTTAACTTTATCTTCAGTGAAAAAGAATCCACATAAATATCAGGTTTAGTGATGACCTCAGGAGAGTGAAAACTTTGATAGTATATAGTTTAGATGACTCACTAGAGGGAAGGTGTATGATGATGTTAGTAACGCTTGGACCAGAGCTATATGAACTATATTTGGCTTATGAAAAGTTAAATGTGCAACATTGTCAGATCATTACCTTTTATGACCACAAAAATTCTTCAGAAATTAACATAGAAATTAAGCTGTTTTCAGATGAGAACAGCAGAGCAATTTTTCACCTCCTTTAGACTTTATAACAAGTTCTTTAAGCAGACTGAGTAGTAAATGACTGGTGTTATTCCATAGTTATCAGTCCTTAAAAACATTTAAAGAAGAGGATTTTATTGAATGGTCTCTGTACCAATGCATCTAATGGTCTAAGGGAGAACTGGATGTTTAAGAATGATGCAGGAGATGTTTCCAGGATTGTCAAGATTCTGATGGTATAACTCCATAGAATTATAGAATCCTAGAACGGTTTGTGTTGGAAGGGACCTCAAAGCTCATCCAGTTCCAACCCCTGCCACAGGCAGGGACCCCTTCCTCTAGAGCAGCTTGCTCCAAGCCCCTGTGTCCAACCTGGCCTTGAACACTGCCAGGGATGGGGCAGCCACAGCTTCTCTGGGCACCCTGTGCCAGCGCCTCAGCACCCTCACAGGGAAGAGCTTCTGCCTAAGAGCTCATCTCAGACTCCCCTCTGACAGGTTAAAGCCATTCCCCTTGTCCTGTCCCTACGGGCTCTTATAAAAGGTTCCTCCACAGGTTTCTTGTTGGCCCCTTCAGGCACTGGAGCTCCTCTAAAGCCTCCCCAGAGCCTTCTTCTCTTCTCTTCTCTTCTCTTCTCTTCTCTTCTCTTCTCTTCTCTTCTCTTCTCTTCTCTTCTCTTCTCTTCTCTTCTCTTCTCTTCTCTTTTCTCTTCCCTTCCCCTTCCCCTTCCCCTTCCCCTTCCCCTCCCCTCTCTCCTCTCTCTTCTCTCAGCCTGTCCCCAAAGCAGAGGTGCTCCATTTCTCTGAGTATCTTCATCGCCTCCTCTGGACTTGCTCCACCAAGTGCGGGTCCTTCTTATGTCGGGTGTCCCAGTGCTGGATGTAGGACACATAAATAATGAAATTCAAGTCTGAGAGCTAGGTTGTTCTAGAAATGCAAAACTACTGCACATACAGCAGGGTTGCTCTTTCTGCCATGGCAAAGGTTTCTCATACTAAATGTAATGGACTCTCTTCTGTCCTAAAGCGGACTTCATCCGGGTATTAGTAGAATTTGTAAAAATCTTAGAGTCTACTGCCTTTGTTCCCAGTTGCTCGGAGAGCTGGATCTGAGCCACTACCTTAATCGTTTACTGAGCGAGGAATCAATGCAGTGACATAGGGTTGCCTTAGCCAGACTTTCTTCATGGTGCTGCTATTTGTCTCTCCCCATAGCTTGGAATCCATTTCTTCTCAGCCTGTCCCCTGCTAGTATATATTCATCAGCAAAGCAGAGATTTTATGGAAAAGTAGAAACTTCTGTATACGTATAGGGCATCTTAAAGGATTGGTAGAAAGCTTGACTCTTTAAAGCTATTTAAGGCACCTGGGTACAGATGTCCATCTCAAGGTTAAATGGTTAAATAAGGGAAGAGAGGGCGTGAAAAGCTTACAGATGATTGTGGTTTGAAGGCATTCATGGATTTGCTAGTGTCAGTACAGTTAGCAAGGAATGGAACTAAAAAGAGGTCAGGAGAATAGCTCAGATAAATTCAGGTGCAGGTTCCATATACTCTATTTATAGGATGCTTTCTCAGGCTAAGCCTGTGAACCTTTTGAAGTTTGTCCATCACCACTTTCGGACCAATTAATGATGTACATCCAGTCCCGTTCTGAGATAGGTGAAACAATAAAGCGAGCAAAGATAATTAGTCTCTGGAGCATGTAAACAAATAAAGTAAATCACTTGCAAATCAGTTGTTTCTGCTTACTTCCATGTTTTCATTGCAGAATTGAAAAAAAGAGCATTTATATTGCAGATCTACATAATGCTAGAGCAATGCTGAAAGTTCATAGGTTATACTATTCTGATTTCGAGAGGGCTTTGCAACAATTACGCACCTGATCCCGAAAGATGGCTGTGAATCCTTACATGCAAATGAACATTTTCATCCCCTTTTTCACGGAAGATTGAAGCAGGGAGGTGAAATTGTTTTGTTCATGGAGGTAAAGGTCTTAGTGACGCTTTAAAAAGAAACAGAAGTCACTGCTTTGAGTTTACAAGTCTGAGTGAAAGCATTAGTGGAGCTGAAGAGAGCAGACCAACATGGGCAGACTTGAATGGCAGTATTATGTGGCCTTTAAAGTGCAAATAACCAGAAGAGTTCCCGGCTGCTAGTTACTTTTTGTTTGTTTGTTTTCCAATGTAACAGCAACCTGTTAATTGCAGTACAATTTCACTTCTCCTCTTAAAGCACATTCCGTAAACAAGCAGTGCTCTCCCCATCTTGGACATGGGGTAGCTGAAGTGAGTGAAGATAATATGGCTATACAGCAGCAGAACTCTATGCAGAGCACACATTCCATTATTCTCAGCCCTGGGCTCAATCCTGTAAATGTTGGATAAATGCACATTTTACAAGAGCAAGTAGATTCTCAGTACCATGGCTCCAGAGGGCTGTGGAGACCATGCAACCCGGATCTGCCTGCTATTCCGCTTCAGCCAGCTGGCTCTGCAGGCCAGTCCAGGGCAAGAGTAAACCCATTCCCTGGAAAAAGCAGTACCAGAGCAGGTCCTGCCTCAAGTCACATAGTAAGAGGACTCTGAGCACAAACATACAGTTTGTGTAATCCGTGAAACAGCAGAAACTGTGTTCCAAGTCTGTAGAATAACAGATTCCGGTTAGAGTTCAGACCCAGGCAAAATGACTGCTCAGATGATAAAATCACCCCTTGTCTTCTTTTTTTTTCTTTCTGGCATGAAAATGCAGAGCGTTTCTTTTAGGAAAGGCCTGACATTTTCCTGTCGTTCTTGCACTCTTTTGTTCTAACTTCAGAAATGGATTCTGGAAGGAGATGCATCTTAGAGACTCCCATCAGCTGAAATGTGTCCAATATACGTTGAAGTTAAAGAATATTAAGCTTTGTCTAAAAATAAAGGGTTTAAAAGGTAAGAGTGCCCGCAGGCTTGGTTTTTAAAGAGATGCATTTTTCTTCACGTTGCAGATCTCGCCTTGCAGATTTCTTCACGAACTGCCAGCCTGAGTCACGGTCTGTTAGTAGCTGTCTGAAGGAGAACTATGCTGACTGCCTCCTCGCTTACTCGGGGCTTATTGGTAAGAAGACAGGGAAGGGGAGAGGGGGGGTTGCTTCGTCAAAGAAACATACCAAAAGTATGTTCTGAAGGCTCACAGGAAAGAAAAACTGTGGAATATAATGCTGTGCAAAAGGCAAAATTCTCCACCTAAGTAAATCTGTTGGCCCTGTTTAACCTTATGGAGATTCCCTGGGGTAAATTTGTATGTTGCAAGGAAATTAAGGGAAAAAGATAGAGAAAGGTGCTTGAATTTGAAATGAATTCAAGCTTACAAAGTAATGCTCATTATTGTAGTTGAACTGGGACAGGACCATTAAGTAGGAAGTCAAGAAGAACAAGTGAAGCTGCACCTTGGTTGATTTTGCAGGTGTCATCACGAGGCTGGGTAAATACCTCTTGGTCTTCAGGGCAAGTTTGCAGGACACTTTTAGGAATTATATAGTAGACCAACCCAGCCTTGTTTCACTTCCAGTTGCTATTCTTTCCTCCGTGTCCTTCCGTCTACTCTGGTTTCTGAGATGCCTGTCAATGAGGGTGGACTGAAGTCTTCTAAAACCCAACATAATTATATTGCTTGCTGCCACCTTCCTGGCTGTCAACAGGCCCAAGGATGCCTTCATGCAATCCAGATCCCGTATACCACTCGCAGTATCTGATTCCTGAGAGAGACCATCTCAGGAAGGTGAATGTGTTGTGAAAATACCATGGTTGGGCAATAAAGAATAAGTGAATGTCAAAACTCTGAAACAAACAAATTTGAAAGGCCACCAGAAAAGATGTTTTTAAGCTTGCAGCCTGCACCTGCTGTGATACAGTAATATCCCCTTCTGTTGGGCGTGAAGGTGCCAGCTGAGGCCCTGAAGCAGATCCTGATGTTAAATAAGTGTCTCTGGAGATAATACACAAAATATTGCTAAAATAGGTTGGGTTTGCTGAAAAATGACTGAAAGCTATGTTCACTTGTTATCATTCTTATCGCTCTAGCAGCTAACAAGTGAAGTAAGTCCATGTGGCAACTGGTAAAATCAGATGTGATGGTTTCAAAGGATGTGCTTCTACAAATTAAGAGATGAAGACAGTATGCAAAGGGTATAACATATGAACAGTTATGACAGAATGTCATTTGACTCTAAAACAAGGAACTGAATAGCCTTGAAATCTGATCTAGTCAATGAGATTAAGAAGTCTGGCTGCTGGCAAAGAGTAACTGTAACTTCTGGGTGAGAGCTGCCAAGAAGTTCTTGCTGGACCTAGTGAATTTTGCTGACAGTTTTGTTGGATCCATTTTTCAATTTAACCCCAAGGATGACCCAGTTCCTATAGTTTTGTGTTACTGTGGATGACCATGCTGCAAAGCACTGTCACACATCTGAGATGTAGAATGGATCCCTGAGGATTTGAAATCCAAAGGAGATCTGATTTTCAAAGGGAAAAAACAAACATTTTCCTTCCTTCCTGCTAGCCCCTAGACACATGCAAACTGATAGAAGTTACAAGAATTTTTACTCCTGGGTACTAATTCTCATAAACCAAGAAAATTACCAAGACTTTTATAGAATCATAGAATCACAGAATGGTTTGGGTTGGAAAGGACCTTAAGATCATCTAGTTTCAACCCCCTGCCATGAGCAGGGACACCTCACACTAAACCATGGCACCCAAGGCTCTGTCCAGCCTGGCCTTGAACACTGCCAGGGATGGAGCATTCACAACCTCCCTGGGCAACCCATTCCAGTGCCTCACCACCCTTACAGTAAAGAATTTCTTCTTTATATCCAATCTAAACTTCCCCTGTTTAAGTTTTAACCCATTACCCCTTGTCCTATCACTACAGTCCCTAATGAAGAGTCCCTCCCCAACATCCCTATAGGCCCCCTTCAGATACTGGAAGGCTGCTATGAGGTCTCCACGCAGCCTTCTCTTCTCCAGGCTGTACAGCCCCAACTTTCTCAGCCTGTCTTCATACAGGAGGTGCTCCAGTCCCCTGATCATCCTCGTGGCCTCCTCTGGACTTGTTCCAACAGTTCCATGTCCTTTTGTGCTGAAATATTGAATTCCTGCTTCTGGTATGAACCTGATGTAAAGGTGGAGTAAATTATGTGAAGATCATGAAATTGGTAACATGCTGAGATAGGAGACAGAAGTCTAAATGTCTGCTTAATATCTATATAAAGTACAGGAAGAAGAGACAGATTGTGGGTAAGAAGCCGTTACAGATCCAGTCATTCATCAAAGCTTGAGGATCTCCAGGTGTTTTAATTAAGATAAAATATTGTTCATTAAAATAAAATATTATTTCAGTTAGCCATTTCATGAAACGTAGCAAAAATTACACCTCCATAGAGTTTGTTCAGGAAATTGAGGATTCTCTGTGAAAGGTACAGTGGATGTGATTCTGCTGTCACATACAGTGATGTAAATCAGAGTTAATTCCCTGAAATCAGTGGATTCTCACCTGAAATCAGTAACTTCAGTGGAAATAGAGTCAGGCACAGTTTTTGTATGAGTCGCTTTATCAGTTTAAGTGGATAACAGTCTGTAAAGGGTACGACACACATCAGTGTGTCGTATATTTATTATATATATAGTAATATGTGTATAATATATATATATTGTATATATAATTTTAAAGTTTTGTATATTTTACAGGATTTTTGAAAATCTTAATTCATCACTTTGGGCTGCTTTTTGTCATAATAGGGATCAATTAATATTTTTAAGAAAGGAAAAATGTAGAAATTATTAAATGTAAAAAAAAGGCTGCAGATAGCCATATTTGAGATTCAGTGCTTTGGTTACAGCCTTCTCAGGCTGTCTGGACCTGTCTGCACTCCCACATCACTTAGGTGTTGCTCTCACTCCTGACTTCAAGACCTACTTCAGCGTTCTCTTTCTGACACGTTTCCCCTTGTCTTCACTAAAATCCATCTAATTTCCCTGGGATTCTAGGAATTCCTTGGGAGTTCATGTGAATATACTAGAATTGGCTTTGGCCCAAAGGAATTCTAGTCACGCTCCCCTCCTCCTGGACTCACCATCCATCTCCTTATTCTTAATTTACCCTAATTTAAGGAACCTCTTGGCCTTATTCAGGTCTATTCTGCTTTTGTCTAAAATACAGAGACCTGACTGCCTACTGCTGATACGATCACAGAACTATTTGATGGATAGAACACAGAAAACCCAGCATATCCTATTTTACTGCCAGCCACCATGGTTTTTCTGATCTGTTAGTGTCCTTCAGCAGAATTTCCAAGATGCCAGCTAGCAGGGGGGAGTGGAGGAGGGAGGCACAGGCATTGCAGGGAAAAAAAGGAAATCCACCCCAGGAAACCAAGCACATAATCCGCTTGGGTTCACATCTGCCCCCAGGTTTAAATGACAGACTGATTTTCTACTAGCTGCTCTTTCAGCCACTCTGTTTTTGCTGGATGTACAGTTTGTGTTCTGGGTAAACACAGTCCTTGTCCTGTCTTTCCTGTATTCATCAACCCTAATCATACTTTAGTATCTGTTACACTTTTAGCCCCTGTCTGGACCCATTTAATTACCTTGTTACCTCTTTGTGATAAGAAAGTCTAACCTCAGCGACCTTTCTAATTTCCTCAATACCTTTTTTGGCCTTTTTACCCCTTTACAAAGCATTTTCTGCTTGGATTTTGTTTTTTTGAAGCCTGCTGTTTTCTTTGCATTTGCAAAATCCTCTGGATTTTTGTTTCCTCTCACTTCTTTTCAGATCACATCACATGGTTGAAGAAGTAGTACTGAAACATCAAACAGATAACAGATATTTCCATATGTTTTATTTTGATTTAACATCATTCATCTTGTTTATCTATGGTCAAGTCTTCATTAATGGTGCAAATGCTATTTGGCTATTTTACTAAATTCACTACCTCTATTTAATAAGTTTCGAACTGTGCTATTTACTTGTGTGCTAATCTCACGTAGAATTTGAGCGATTATTACTGCAACCATAGGTTAAAGGCTGAAAGCAGATAAAGGTATGGGATTGCATTCTAATTTAAGAGCATCCCAAAACAAGACAAACGATGCTTTTTGTGAGTTTGGCGGTGGGACTGCACTCATTTTCACATACGTTTCTGCCTTTCTCAGGCCAGCCCTTAATATTTGTTCTCCTTTGTCTCCCAGGTCATGGATAAGGCAGTTTGCATGTCGATTTGTCCCTTTCCCAGTGCTGCCTGGTGACTGAAAGGCTATTTTACATCATCCTGTGATTTATGATACTTCTAATATTCCTTTTTTTTTTTTAGCTTTGTTTGATAGCCCCTTTCTATGTGTTTTTGCAGGCGCTTGGACCCTGGACCTATGGACCAAATTTTCTCTGCTAGTGTACATGTTGGGTCTCTGATATTTATGCTTCATCTATTCTGTCTTCTTAATGACTACGTTGATGTCAGTTTGGAGGAGATGTGATCACATTTCCTCATGATATATAGCTTGTCCTATAATTGTGGATTACCAAGTGAGGAACATGTTTCCTGAAGCCGCTGTCACCAGGACCAGTCTGGAATACTGACCCCTTTTTATTTAATTTTTCCTGTTTTCTGTAAAATAAAGGTCCAAATTTCTCAATCCTTGGGGAAGCTGGAAATCTGTGACCACCTGGGGCAATGCCTGAAGTGAGACTGCTGGTTTGAATAAGTGATCATATAACAGTTGCCTGACCCAGATGAGTGATGAACAGTTGCTATGCATCTTTTAGGACACAAAATGCATTCTTTGGTTTCATTTCATTCTTGGTAGCCTTGAGCTGACACATAAATGTGAGAATATTTACCCAAGAATTTGTAATAGAGTTAGAATGAGCCTGTGGTTGCTAGTTGTTGGCAAAGTTTAAGAAAGTCACTGTACTGAAAAAGTAGTGACACAGCAAGATTAACAGTAATGGTTTCAGCCATTTATTTGCAGCTAGAACCAAAATGGGGGAAGAACACAAGCAAGGAATAAAAATTGGATTTTTAGAGTGCAGCTCAGTGTGCAGGTCCACATATGTTTGATTTGGCAGCAAAGCCCTTCTAAGAAGTTCCCACTGACTCCCAGTCCAGCCTTTCCCTGTGCCATGGTTTTCCACATGCCAGTTCTGCTGATGGAGCTCTCTGGGGAAATGCAATATAATCCTTTTCGGAGGAAAGGAATGGGACTTTAATGTGAGAATCATGTTATGGTCCCTAAAGTGGTTGCATTTGAACAACGGAGGGTGTGAAGTACAGCACAAGGCTGGGTGTCAAAGAGCAAAAGGAGCCAGGAACTGTTAAGTCTGGAAGTTAGGGCCCTGCATTGTGAATCCAGCTCTGGGTACATGACTTATGCCATGTGCTGTTTGCTGTCTTCTTGAAAGGATATTTTAGTACAAAAGTTGCTCACAGTACCATTCTTATCTCTTTTTACTAGGCACGGTGATGACACCAAACTACATAGACTCAAACAGTCTCAGTGTTGCCCCATGGTGTGACTGCAGCAACAGCGGTAATGACATAGATGAATGCCTGAAATTCCTGAATTTCTTCCAGGACAATACATGCCTTAGTGAGTACAAAATTAGATGTCTTTAAATGTGGTTTTGGGTGTTTTCTGGAATACCTACTGTTTAAGTAGGTTATGATACATCAAAGCCATCTCTTAGCACTTTGGGAGCATGCTTTTGCTGTAGGTGTAAGAATTAAACAGATGAGCAAATATGCCTGATACTGTGGTTTATGGCCAAGATTGCAAACGTGAGAAGCTCTTGGAAAAAAATCCAAATAACAAAGTGCTATCATAGAGAAATATGTTTACATCACAGATCATATTTGGACCCTAACAGTCAGGCAATCTGTACCAAAAGATTGCAACACCTGAGGGCTTCTGTATAATTTAAGAGCTTCATATAAAAAAGACATGTAGTTTATGATATGAAGGATTTGCTGTAGGTAAGTATAAATTGGATTGCGCTTGCAATTTATAGCCAAGCTTCATGTTTTTTAGGCTACTTGATCTCAAGTGCCTGGTTTTAACACAAGTCTGGATGGTACCTATTGTAAAGATTTTGTTAAGTTATTGACTTTTTTTCTTCAGTCAAGCTCACTTCCAAATTAGGATCTATTATAAATTTCAGAATGGCTCAGTGGAGTCGATTTTGGCAGGTTCTCTTTTCAAATTTCCTGTCTGCCTGGAGCAGCATAATTGGATGATGTAGAGTGTGCATCAGAGTTTTAATTTCAGATAAATGAGGAGACCAAAAGAGCTTGGCTTCCCTAGCCTAGCAGAACAGAAGTTGAAAGGATATGTGATTGTCCTTTGCAATTGCATTAGAGGGGCAAGCCCAGGGAGGGAATAGAATTACTTAACCTAGAGGACAGTGTTGGCACAGGATCGAAAAGGAAGATACTGGCCATACATATTTAGGGTCAAAACAGGACAATTTTTAATCATAAGACTAAAGTTAAGGAATCGGCCTCAGCAGGATTTTTGAGGGTATTCTTCTGGTTTTAAAAGTCATAATTCATCAGCTTTTGAAAAGTAGCATACATCATGGCTTTAAAAGAAATAGGAAATGAACTCAGTGATCCAGGCGGTCCCATCCAGCCCTATGTACTTGAGCTAATCTGCTAATGCAGGGTTGTCTGTATTAGTATAGGGTCTGAAAATCTCCATTGGTAGCTTCTCAATAGGCAGCACTGTTGTGAAGACAAGGGGAGCTTTGCATTCAAAGAGAGAGTGTTTTAAGTTGCTGTTTGATACACTATTTATTAAGCTTTGGAAAAATGAATCAATTACCCAAGATCATTTAGCAAAAAATCCCAGAAAACAACTCAGACTGTGACTGGGTAAAAATTAATAATATAGCATCAGACCTTCAAACCTAATGGGGCTGGCATTTATATCTATATTGTAATATATCAGGTTTTATTCATTTGTGAATGTATTAACTGCTGAAATGTTACAGGTTCCTTTTAGAACATAAAGACAGAGCTGTCCCTTGTCCTTTCTTTTGGTATTGGTATAAAAGCATTAATGAAGACAAATCGAAGACATTAGAGGATACCGTGAGGCAAATTATAGTCATCCTAACTGTAAGAGATGTCTTCTTCGGGAAGAAATTAAAGATGTTCTGGTTTAATACAAATTTTTGTAGCTTTCAGATAATGGGAAAAGTTCCAATTTTTTTTTTTTTTTCTTAATTGTCATTAATGGGCCTTCCAGTTCCTGGAGAAAATATCATTTGTTTATTGGATGAGATTTAAATTCCTCACAGTTTTTTTAGAGAAAACAAAAATTGGTTTCCCCCAAATAACAAAACTAGGAATTTCTTGCTAATCTGTTTTGCTTAAGTATACTTCCCCTTCAAAATGGAAAATAAACCAGTGATTTGGGTTATTTATGCAAAGTCGAATAGGAGAGGCTGTATCCTGAGGTCTAGGTGACTCAGGAAGCAAGAGATCCAAGGTCACGCTCATACTACGTGTGGTGTGGAGCCTGAGACATCAAACTGAGTTTACCATGTCTCACATACACACCTGAAATCCTGCTCTTTCTTGAACCTCTGTATGCACTTGCCTGGAAGTTCCACTGTAGCCTTGAAAAGCCTTTTGCACCAGATGTGAAGTTGAAAATAGAGTGGAAGTTTTGATTTCAAAAGGTGGGTGTGAAAATACAAATGAAAATTCTGGTCTTTTAGTAATCAGTCCCAAAAAGGACAAACATTACATTGCTTTCTTTTTGCATGTATTAGATAAAGTTTCTTTAACTCAGCATTGTCAAGCAGCATATGGGTTTATAGCAGAACTGTGAAATTGGCCCAGTCTCAAGAAAGCTAAAAAATCCAAATTAATAGGCTCCAAATAACATCTATGCCACCCTAAGATTTGGGGTTGTATATTACCTTGCTTGCACTTTTATTCTCTTTATTGGATTATGTAAGTTTATTGGTAATATTGCAGTGATCCTAATTACTGCCTCTCCAGTTAGGGTTTGGCCAATCTTAAATTCTGGAAATCCATCTTAAGACTTTATTTTAGCTGTTCTGAAAGTGAATGCCCTGACATTCAGTTACATACTCTAGAATTCCTGCTGAACTGAATTGGATTTAGTATATGTACCTATCTGTTCAGAGGATTTGTTCACTCCTGCCTTATACTGAAGTAAAAAGAATTGTCAAGTGGGAGGAAAAGCATAAAGCAGTGAGTTTAGTTAATAAAAATTATTGAAGGGAACTTTGCTAGAGCAGGTAGACATTTCAAGCACTTCCTTACTCTTATGATGTTTTTTGAAACATACTTGAAATATGTATAAAAATACATATTTCAGATACAATTTATATGTTCAAAATGTTATGAAAATATAAGGAGGGATGGAACACTTCTCCTGTGAGAGAGTTGGGGTTGTTCAGCCTGAAAGAAGGTTCCAGGGAGACCTTATTGTGGCCTTTCAGTACTTAAAGGGGAGTTATAAGAAAGATGGGGACAGACTTATAACAACCATTGAGTATGTTGCTGCGAAATAATTAAAGATAACTCATTTTCCTTACAAAACTGGAAGGATTTAATGTATTTCTGGGTTAGGGGTTTCTAACCCCCCTTCCTGCACTAATGGAAACAAAGAGTTACTGTTAATTTAAGAAATCACAGGAAAATATTGCTTTATATATTGCTTATTCAGGTAAAACAAAACTATTGTTCCTTTCTTCTGACTTTGACTCCATCAACCCAGATGATTGTGGTGCCTTTTACAAATTCTTCCCTTTCCTTGTTGGAGTTCTAAGAAGCAATATTACAATAAAATGCATCTTTTTTTCATAAAATAATTTACATTTAGTTCTTATGAGGCAAGGAATACCACAGAGAAGAAGTATTAATAACTTCCACATATTAGTCCCCAGTGAAATTGTTTGATTTCTTGTATAAAGAATCTGAAATAAGAAATCCCTAAATCCATGTTGAATCCCCAAAGACCTGATTAAAATTTTTTTCTATTTGTTTATAAAAACCCCCCAACCAATTTACTCTTGCCATAAACACACTTTTAATCCCTTGAAACTGTGTTAAGCTTTTTAACTTTTATATTCTAAAGTTTTAGTTCAGGCATGCCTCCCTCACCTAATTATGCAGATTTTGATTGAAAACTGTAAGGAAAAGATGGTCTTAAACAATTTCATAGTTTTAGGCATATTAGTTTTACTATAACAAGCTGTAGAAATAAACTAATATTTTGCAAGCTCTCTGTTTTTAATTTGCTATGTAATATCACCTGCCTGAGTTAAGCTAAAATGTTCAAACTGTATTTTAAACCTTTAAAGTAAATTTTTGAGACTTTCCTAGAGCTTCTGTCAAGAAGTACTGGGAACATTACAAAGAAGAGTTTGCACCACATAATTATGCAACCCCAGACTCTCAGTTTGCTTCTGATATGTTCAAAATTAAGACGCATTCTTCAGCATAAAAATTGAGTTTCTCTAAATGCACATTTTTCAATGTAATAGGAATGTAAAAAGTCGGTTCTGCTTTCTGCCATTTGTTTAGAAATGGAAAATTGCCTGTAATCTGTTCCTACAGAAAACGCAATTCAGGCCTTCGGCAATGGTACTGATGTGAATGTGTGGCAGCCAATCTTACCAGTACAGACCACTACAGCCACAACTACAACAGCTTCCAGACTTAAAAACACAGGTTCAGAGACCACCAACAATGAAATACCCACCCACAACGATTCACCAGCATGTGCAAACCTGCAGGTAAGGGAGTCTTGTACTTGGTGCGGTGCATAAATGAAAGTTTTCCATGGATATATATACAAAGCTGCTGCATAAATAGGTGCCTGCTTAAACTGGAGTATTCGTTTATTCCCATGGTGTAGTTACAAGGTGGATTTATTGTAAATTATCAGATACACTTTGAATCGGAAACACAAGTATTTCAAAATGGACTTTATTGCCTCTCTGGCTCAGAAACAGGGCGTAGTATTTAATTTATCTCAGGTTTGGACATGAATGTGGCACTCTCCAAACCCTGCCAGGATATGTCAGATTAAATCAATCCCCTGAGTAATACAAATTCAGAGGGAACTCTTAATGTCAGCTAGCATGTCCTGCTGCCTTCTTTCTTACCTTATTGGCGGTAAACTGAAGAGGTTTTTTGGCTGAGTAGGTCTGGATATTAGAGAATATGTGGTGCTGCAAACTACATGGTGAAGAAGCTGGATGAAGACAGAAGCTGTTTTGAATCTGGTGCTTTCCTGAACTGGGGTCAAGGTCGTGATGTGATTTTGGTCAATGGCTGTAGCGATTTTCTTTGAGACTTCAGTGAGGCTATTTATGGTGCATCTTTGATTCTGGATTTAAGGCAGTATATGCAGCTTTTAGAAAGTTGAACTTCAGCAGGAAACAACTGCAAAATGAAGGCAGGAAAGAGGCAACAGGAAATGTAAGCTGAAAACGTTCTTTGGCCAGATTAGAATCGGGGGTTATAAAACCTACTGGTAGTTTACTTGCAAATTAGGTCAGAGATAGATCAGCTTGCCCTGTTTATTTTTGTCTTTACAGAATGAGAATCGCTATGTGACACAAATGAAAGTGTCCGCATTTAAGTCTCATCTGTATTAAGATACTGATTTTCCAGATTCCCACACTCTTCCACACTATAGCATTAGTATTTCACTTACAAAAAATTGATTTTGTGTTCTTCATGTTAAACTGCATCATACCTTCCATGTTCACTAAAGTGGACTGTTTGTATTCCTCAGAAATGTATTTTGCTTCTAAATTTTTCCTGCACAAATTTCTCACCTTCATCCTTTCCTAGTTTCTACCTTTATTTTGAATTGGCAATTGCGTACGAATTAACATTTTTCAGAGGCATTAAAGAGTCACAAAGCATAGGGGGTTAATGGTAGATGGTGTTGAGTTCAGGTCTTTCTGGTTTAATTCTTTTTTTCATACCTTGCATTCATTATTAGTTAAGCTTTGTAAGTTATTGATGAGAAGGAGATAGATGCAGGCATATATTTGTATGCAAATAGAATATGCTAGAAGAAATGTAACCTTTTAAACCTGAGACCTGGAATATCTTGCATTTAAAGCAAGACCTTGATGGGATATTATTAATTCACTTAATGTTATATTCAAAAGTTGTTTTATGGGTGAGATCAAATTTTCCTTCGATGTTTGTGCAGTCCCCTGTAGAGTAAGGCCTCCAGATGCTACCAAAGTACAGCTAATAAATAATGAGCTGAAGAAATGACAAGTGATCAAAAATCCCATTGGATTCAGTTCGATTTGCAAATGTTCGTTAACCCTGAATAGCTTTCCCAGTGCTTTGAAAATTAATAAAATTATTCCCTGTCTTTACTCATGTTATTTTGGCATTTTGAAGTTCCGTCCAACGTGAGTTTATCAGCACTGGTTTAAAGCTATGTTATGACTTCCAGTGTACCCCTGTTATATTCAACACAAGAAGTAAATGTCAGGAAAAGAGCTTGCTTTAAATAAGTGATCTCTGCTGTTTTGTAAAAACTGTAGGTGAGTCTGCACTAAAAGGTCACTGAAGTTACATGGATCAAGCAGTTTCATTCTTGTGAAGCTCATGATTCTGCTGCTCGCTACTTCCTTGTGTCAGAACTGAAACACGAAGAACAAAGCTCTTATATTTTAATGTATTCTTCAAAAAAAACTAACTTACAAATAGAGACAAAATGAGCCCACACTTTTTTAAAAGGAAACCTGTGTTTGTTGGACAGTATGGTGCCACTTTGCATGTGAGACTTAAAATTCAATGCAAATTTTACAAAGGAACTGGAGCTTTCATATCACACTTGAAGGGTATTCATTCCAAGGCTCTCCTCCCATGAAAAATATGCCTTTGTAGTATTTTCAAAACATGAACTAGTGCGACCAGAAGTAATCTGAAGGTCTTTGTTATATGCTTAGCAGTTGAGCTGAAAGGTTTCAAAAAGGCAATATGGCCAAAACAGTGAAAAGTAGAATTAAAAGCATTAGTCTCAGCACAAAAAGACAATGGCAGAGAGAGGAAAAGGAAATAATCACTGGGATGCTACAAGGCTGCACATCCTAGTTAGTGGGTTTAAAAACACAGTGAAGGAAGAAAGAATAGGAAGTGATTGATCAGTATAAATTGCCATAGAAATGAACAAATACTAACCTCCTGGGGCTGTAAAATACAGGGCACTAACCCAATCTGCCAAGAGTGTCACTGGCTGAGCAATTTTTGATGCATTTTTTTTCTGACTTGTTCAAAATGGTTGTGTGAAAAGCAAGAATACACTAATGGTTTTGTTGCTGTGCCTTGTTCACCTGGCCACATGCAAAACTGGGAAGGACTGTGAATGCTTAAACAAAGTATGCGATACTGTTTGCTTTGTTTTGTTACTCTTCGTTTCCCTGTACTCAATATTTTGAATACTTGTTGTAGGCTTGCACAAAAAAAAAATTGAAACAAAGCCATAATTTTCATTTCAGTGGTGCGGTTTAGAAATTGTTCTTCATTTCCACCTGCCATTGCTACAAGAATTTCCAGTTCTTTTCTCATGGGGTTGTCTTCTTATTTCATCTTGATATAGAAAAATGTTGATTTCTGATACGTGCTTATTTTATGTTTACATGCATGGATTTGTGTAATACACTCTTTCTGTTCCTAAATCAAATCAGCATTCCATCTTTGCCATGAAGATGCTTAACTTTTTCAGGCATCTTAGAAACTCTTCTATGAAACTGGTTCTTGACAAAGTTTGTCAAACAGGGAGAGTATATAGTGCTTTCTTTATATAAAATGCTAAATTCAAGTATTTTTTGAAGTGTTTGACATCTTGCAAAGGATCCTTAGAACACATAAAAATAATTTATTAAATGTTATGAACAAAAAGGAAGATGAATGCCGACAGCGTGCTCCTTGTGCAGGCAGATTTTATTAAGTAATTGCCATTCCTATCTTTTTTCTGATAGCTTTACTCTAACATTTTCTGTTGAACTGACATATTTGTTTATCCTTCATTCTTGAACGTGGCTTGTGCTCAGTGCGCCAGTCAAGAAATCGTTATGGTCTTTCAGTCTCACGTTCTGTCACTGTTTCTTGAACTGTCATGTTGGATTATTTGAAAGGGGCGAATGAATGAGTTTGGATGTGTACTCACACCATGTATTCTTCAAGAAAAATGCTGCTTCTGCATTTAGGACATGCATGGAGCTGAAAGATGATAATGAAATAAACTTCAAGTGATAGATTAGAGTAGATTAGACCAGTTGTTACTACATCGTCAGCAGAGATAAACAGAAATTTAAGACTTTCATGCTGGGTTTGCTGTAATATTTCAGAGGCATTTTGCACAAGACAGAAATGATAGGAGTTAAGATGATTAAGGATATTTAAGTCTAAATTTCTGCACTGAAATCATTCAACTCCCTGGCTAGTTCTATACTTTGTTCACCCACATTTATTATAAATGTCTTGCTCTAGTTAACCTTGGTTCAGCGTTCAGAGGGAATTTAAGGTCTTTGTGCCTTTGAAGAAGTGTAAGCAGCAGACACACGTAATTGAGATACATGACCCTTCAGACTGAAGGCAAGCACTTTTCAGTCGAGTCCAGTATGTGAATGTTATTGTATTCTCAGCAGCAAAGTTTAAAAAATATGAGATAGGGATTAAAGAGCTCAAACATTTTTGTGGGGAACAAGGAGGAAAAGTGAAAACTAGACACTTAAATACAGCAATTTTCTCTATTTGCATATAAGACTAGCGAGTGTCTAGAACAGACATGGGCTATACTGCAAGCTGTTCTTCCACAAATTCATGTAATTGTACATAAACTTGGGGTTTTACAAACATATCTAATATGGCAAGTCTTAGGACAAAAACAGGGCTCACAGTTCTCTGAGGAGACCAAGACTTAAACGTGACTCAGAGACTGACTGTGGTTTTCACTTGTAGATCTATCTTTTGCAGAGCCTTCATCACTGTGTATGGATCTGCTAATCTGATGCTTGAAGTACCGTCTATAATTATTTAATGTAGCTTCCCATGCGCTAAATATTATTGTTATAAAGCACCGTGTAGGTGTTTGGAGAGTGTTAAAAGCTTCAGTGTGGTGTTCTGAGGATCAAGACACAGCAGGTGTGGAGCTTCGTGGACAGGTAATTGAGTGGTGGGTGAATATAAGCAGGAAACACAGGCAGCATGTAGGTGTGCTGTTGAGGAGGGGATAGTACATCTGCTGAGATGGTACACTGGAATAGAGGCAAAGAGAACTTGATGTATCCACTGAGCACCTGTATTAACTTGCCCAAGTGCCTGACACCCTCCTTCCCCCGTCCCTTCACACAGCCTGTGATCTTTCTGTTACTTTTTTGTTGTGTGAAAAACAAGCACTCTCCTTCCAGATGCTCTGCCTGCTTTGTCCCTTGGGAGAAGTCGTACTTGGATCTCTTCCTCTGGGCATTGCTACTACTCAGAAAGATACAGTGTGTGGCAAAAGATGGACAGACATATAAAACTCACCATGCTGTGCCAGAACAAAATAAAAAATAATGATAAAAAATAAATTACAGTATTGACTGAATGTTTTGTATGAAAAGATTTAAATTAACCTCCTTTATTGCCAGGATGACCTGACATAATGGGGTCAGCCTGCTGGTACAAGTGATTTAGAGAACACTTATTGGCAGCTTTTCTTCTGAAAAAGCAACACCTTTAATTTGCTTCAATAGCCATTCTGTTGTACCTGAAGAGGTCTTGTGTGCTTTGCATGTTCAGATAAAAGTCTGACATTCAGGGATAATTTGAAGTTTAATCTTTAGTCTTAAACATCTAATTTGGGGAACATTAAAGAAAATGCTGTATTTTACCAAAAAGGAGACTGCTTTGTCCACTGATTTCTTTGACTTTGATTTCAGTGAAGTTAATCCTTGTTTGCTTCAGCACCATGCTGGAGTGGGTCCTCAAAAAATGTGGATGCATAGATTTCCCTGAGGCTGTATTCATTCACTGCATGATTCTTGCATCTTTCAGGTAGAACCAGAGAAGGTGAGGTCACCGTGAGCGAGGGACAGGTTTGGGTTTTCAGTCTGGATGGCAGTCCTGCTGTCCATAGGCAGGAAAGTGGTCAGCAGTCCATCTGCATTACTGTGCAAACAATGGATCTCAGCACTGAAAGGCTGCTTTGCAATGAGCATATAAGTACATACATACTAGTGGTATCATCATCTAGGCTGCACCCGCTGAGGGCAAGGCTGCACTTGGGTTCTTCGCTGTCTTTGCCAAAGAATTTCAGGACCACACAAGATAGATAATTTTCAAGTTTGTTGGAATCCTGCTGAAGCTAAAGATCTGATTAATAGATCTGATTAATTTCTAAGTACAGTGAGTCTTTTGCCTCTCTTTTGAACATCAGAGGAACAGTTTGAGGATGTAGCCAAGTATCATATCCTACAGGCTTAGATGTATCATATTAGTGTCAGCGTTGCTATGAGACATCAGCCATCAGTAATCAGTAGAAAATTGTTCTCATTTACCAGCCTTGGTTGAACTTCTTAGTTGAACGTTGGGCCCCCTTGCAAGATCAGTCATGATTTGTAGAGTAAAATACAGGCTAAAACTCTCTGACAGTGTAAGTCAGCACATCTCTGTTGTTACCATCAGAGCTACACAGATGTACATCGGTAAACATTCAGTCTCTTTGGCTTGTGGAGCTCTCTGTAACAATGGACCTCACATTTAATGATCAGTACTCTGACAAACCATATTTAATGTTGGAACTCAGGTATAATAAACTTCTGTTATTGAAAGCCAGCAAAATGGTTTATTTTGTATATTAGAATTACAGGATGTTTTGGGTTTTTTTTATTAGCATGGTTTTCATTATACCAAAATACTGTTGCATGTACATTGCTGGAGAGCAGAATAATTTAGAATTATTTCATCAATGATAGAATATTTTACAGTTCATTTAAAAAAAAAAGTTTTAATAGTCTGAGCATCTTTAGTCTATTATAATAATACTGCACTTTATAGCAGACTGTAAAACTCCAGACTACAGTTTTAGGAATCATGCAATTTTGTTTTATAGTTTAATAATTGTTCAGTTGAAAATGAGGATGAGGTTACTAAAAACCAATTTAATGGCTTACAAAAATACAACTTTATTAAAATGTGCTACACACCTTTACAGGAAATGGAAATTTCTGTGGACAGATTATAGTTCTTATCCTCAGAAAGAATTTTGCAAGTTATTGCTGCTAAAAGCAGATGTAGCGTTTGCAGTGTTCCCCTAAGCTACAGTTGTTTCTACGTTTCACATCAATATCCTTCTGTAGGAATACCCACAAAAATACAAAGTGGTAGAATAAGCCAGAATCAGAAAATTGGATTGCATCAGGTAAGCCAAATCAAACTATTCATAGCCCGTGTTATTACTTTATGTGGTTCTTCATCATATTAAAGGTATTCCTAATGTCATCCAACTTTAGCTCTCAATCAGATATGTAGTCCATCATGTATTTCCCTTTTAAAACAGATAGCTATAGCCTGCAAAAAACAGCCATAAAATGCAGTATTATAATTTAATTTGAAGGCATAACTACTCCTAATAAAAAATTCTAGGTCATTGTATTGCGATGGTGGATGTTTAATCATACTGTCTTTGGAAGTGTAGTTCATAACGTATTGTACATTTATGGGACTTGACAAAGTGCTTTGTTTAAGACATATTGTTTGCTGTTAGTAAATATTAGGTTTTAGCCATGACTCTGCTTCCATTTATACTTGTTCAAGTGAAAGTAATTCTGGTTATGCCAGGCTGACCCTGCTGCAAAGCAAGTGCAGGCAAAAGCAGTTGTGCCACCAGGTTTCTAATGGAACGGAGGGCAAGAATAGAATTCTTGCAATCATTAGTACTTCTTTATTTTAACTGGAATAGCTTGTAGGAGTCATATACTTATAGACCAGAATCCCATCATACAAGCTATTCCACAGGCTCATAGTGAAAAGGTACTCCTGACATTAAAAACACAATGAATTACAGTTAACTTCAGTGAAGCTAAGATTTCACCTCATAGCCTTTATTCTGAAAACCACATAGTGTATTTGAGTGCTCTGGAAACAATAAATATTTTACTATTATAAACTATGTTAATACACTGTGTTCTCCTCAAAAAGTATGTCCACAGAGATATGAGAAAAAAAAACAAAGTAAAAGGCTTGGTACTATCTCAGTTAATTGATAGAGTTGTTAATACAGAGATGTTTCTTTCTGAAGTATGAAAATAGCTCACCGATTGCCAGAATAGATCAAAATCTAACAGATAAAATCTTTCTTTATCAATT